CAATAAAGCAAAGCAGAGGAGTCACTGTGGTGGTTAAAAAGAAAATGTCCCCCAAAGGCAGTGGCACTATTAGGAGGTCTGGCCTTGCTGAAGGAACTGTGTCACTATGGAGGTGGGCTTTGAGGTTTCATATGCTCAGGATACTGCCTAGTGTCTCAGTTACTTCCTGTTGTTTGCAAGCCAAGTTGTAGGACTCTCAGCTGTAGCACCACATTTACCGTATGCTGCCATGCTCCTCATCATGATGATAATGGACCGAACCTCCGAAACTGTAAGCTAGCCACTTCAATTAAATGTTTCCTTTATAAAAGTTGCCTTGGTCGACCCAACTAATGAAACCCACAGAGACAGCTGACCTAAACAAGGGGGAATGCATGGACCCCAGACTGATGACTGAGAGGCCAGCATGGGACTGATCCAGAAACCCCTGAACCTGGGTTTCAGAGAGGAGACCTTAACAATCTATGGGGCCTTGGATAGTAGATCAGTATTTATCCCTGACATACAAATGGACTTTGGGAGCCCTCTCCACATAGAGGGAGGCTCTCTCAGCCTGGACACATGGAAGAGGGTCTAGGCCCTGCCCAGGATGATATAACAGACTTTGAAAATCCCCCCAAGGAAGGCCTTACCCACCCTGGGAAGCAGAGGGGGTATGGAGTGGGGTGTTGGGGGGTTGGGAGCGGGGTAGAAGGGGAGGGAGAGGTAGCTGGGAGTAACATGTGTAAAAAGTTAAATAAAAAATTATTATAAAAAAAGTTGCCTTGGTCATGGTGACTCCTCACAGCAATAAAAACTTTAACTAAGAAACACATAAGGCTAACATCAATGTTCCTCAAACTGTTGCACAAATTAAAAGGGAAGCGGCACTATCAAATGCATTCTATTAAGCTAGTATTACCTTGATATCAAATGGGGTAGAACAACAATAAGGAAAGAAAACTGTAGATCAATTTCTATGATCAACATAAATGCAAAATTTCTCAATTCAGTTGTTTCAAACTGAATGACACAAGGATGGTTCAACATGCTCAAGTAAATAAATATAGCACATACATGGACTCAGGGACAGGCCTGACATGGTCATGTCAAGGGATATAGAAAAGGTCTTCATCAGAGTTAAGAAACCCTTCATGGTAAAAGCTCTGAAGAAACTAGGAATGTATTTCAACACAAGAAAGACTGTACATGATAAGATCTAGATCTTATTGTTCAAATCGTCTAAAAACACTGAGAACCTTTCCCCTAACATTAGGAACAAGCTAGAGTATGCATTGTCTCTACTCTTACAGTGTTTGAAGTCTTAGATAGTGCAATAGCACAAGAGGAAGAAATAATAGGGATAAAAAAGGAAGGGAAAAAAGTCAAGTTATCCCTATTTGTAGATGACATGATAATATATTCATAAGAACCTGATTCTTTTCCCAGAAAACTGTTAGGTCTTATAAATAACTTAAGGAGCAGGATACTAAATCAGCATAGTAAAATCAGTGGGTTTCTAAATACCAGTAATTCAATTGCCAGGAAATCAGGGGAAAATCTCATTCACAAAATTCCTTCTTTAAACTGATTGAGTTGTCTGCAGGGCTCTTCCAGAACTGTAGCCCCTCCACACTTACTTCTGCGTAACCATTGCAATCAACAAATGCATTTCCCTGTATTACATAAGGATTTAAGGTCTCTGTGTGCTGTGCCTACATTTCAGTGGAATCATCTTCCACTGTACAGAAGATGTGAGCCCTGCCTGTTTTCAGAATACACACCCTGGATTCAGGTCCCCAGATAAATAGTGGGTTTGGATCTGAGGTTGCTAAAGCAACAGAATGTCCATTACCCAGTCTGGAAGGATCCTGAGTCATTGCTCTGAAGGATAGCACTCCCTAGATTTAACGTATAAATAAAATAGATCCTGGTGTTCTAAAATGGTTTAGATAATAGTTCCTCCATGAGGCAGAGATGGATTGAAATTCAATACACTTCCACATAGCCATCATCTGATGAAATGCTCCAAATGCCTTCGTGTCAGTTTTATAGAAGTCTGAGAGCCATAATCTAAAACTGCATTCCTGTCTCCTTTGCTCTCTTTCTTCCCAGGCCTTCACTACAGATAACTTGGAAAGAAGATACATTTCTTCCCTCCAGTCAGCTGTCTGCTTTGGCGACTAATACTATGCACAGCAGTACAGCATCTGTGTTTCAGGAAAACGATGTGTGAAAACAGTTTTCAAAATGCTCACTGTCTAGATAAAAAGAAAACTAAAAATATGTTTGGTTACCACTCTGCAAAGCCTATTGAATTTGGCTGTGAATGAGAATCTAATTGTCATCCATTCCTAGTGGAACCTTCCTTAAACATCACACCCGTCATAAAAATAAATCAGCTGTAGTAGCACAATATAATTCATGTAGGAAGTATTAAAAGAAATAACGACCAGCAGCCTGCTTAATAATTTACATGTCTTCTTTTAAAATTATGTGTGTGCATATATGCATGCACACATGCATTTGTGTGTTGTTTATGTTCAGGCACATGTGCTGTGAACTCCCTGTAGAGGTCAGAGGACAATTGTGAAATCTATTCTTTCCTCCACTCTACATGAATTACGGGGTTAAATTCGGCCAGAATTTCATGGAAAGCCCCTTTACTGGATAAGCCACCTCACTAGCCCTACATTTCTTATGCTTTTGATTTCTTTTTATTTTATGTGTATGAGTGTTTTGTCTGAATGAGTGTAACTGGAGACAATTGTGAATCATCTTGTGGATGCTTGGAACTGAATCCAGGTCCTCTCAAGAGCATTAAGGGCTCTTAGGCACTAAGTCATCTCTACAGCCTGCCTATGTTCCTTCTTGATAGGCCCTTAGAAGAAATAAGGAGAGCCACTGGTACATAAAATGTCATGTCTTGTCAGTAAAGGGAGCAGGGATGTACTGAAATGTTACAGCTAGTTCTCTAGTTTTGGACAATGGTGATGGATTACTTTCCTGTTTTTCATTTATAATCAAAGAAAATTTTCTTTATCACCTATGCTTGTTCCCATGGGATTAGCATAAGCATATTATCATACTCACAAGACTGAATTTGAGAGCAGAGAGACACACGCAACTTAGAGACCCCGGTCTTAGGCTGCACTTACTGACAAAAAAAGTATATTCCTCGGTCAATAGTGAGCACAAATATGATGTTTTGTAAACTCAGTAACATTCATCATCAGTATTCCATTTGCTTTTGTGTGATATGAATGACCAGGATTTTTTTGAAGGGTTGGCTAGACCTTTTAATGATTTTCAGTTTCCTTTTGATATGCAACTGTCAAAGGAAAGAATCTATTCCAGTTGTTCAGATGAGGGAATTTGCAGTTAATAAGGCATAAATACAGAAAGATGCAGGATTAGCAGTCCTCAAAGCACAGCTCTAATCAATATCTCCCCTAAACAAGTCTCATGTTTCTGACCGTATTCTGACTTAATGAAGCCCAGTGCTGTATTCCTGAGCCTCACAGGTCTGGGTTCACCAGTGTCTGCCTCATTTCTGCACTTCTTCTTTAGGGGCTTATTGACCCGGCGCTCATCAGGACTGCTTGAGAAGCTTTAATATACACATATATCTATGGATACATATACATACATACACACATATACATATATTCACATGACATATATAGTGACAACCACATGCTAGAGGAACTTGAATCTGCACGTGAAGCACAGGCCTTAACTTGTGTTTTGATTTTGTGGGAGGGGTACTTTCTTATTTGTGCTACCTTCAGGCCTGTACCCAAAACGCAATTGTAAAATGTAGCGAACAGTTCCTTGTGCTTCCAATTTCTGTGGGGAACAGCACTTACCATCTTGGAATTCCTCTGGGTATCTGTGATGTCCGAGATTTGGGCTGGGATTACTAGGGGTGTCTCAAGGAGCTGGGGCTGGGGTCATCTGGTGGTGTCCTCACTGACCATTCTGATATTAATAATTAGGCTGGGGTAATGCCCTGCTCAGTTGGACCTCTCATTCAGACTCCTAGGTACACATTCATTTCCATATAGCTTGCGTTTTCCTAAAAGATGGTACCTCAAGATGACCAAGCTTCCTCTGTAGAAGTTCTGACTCCTGGAACAAATAAACACTTCGTTGGAAAGGTGCAGCTGTAAGGCCTTTCTGGATCCTGCCTCAGAAGCATAATCTTTGAATGAAGAGAAGCCGAAAGAAAAATGACAATCCATCTGTGGCAGTTTTGAAGCTGACACATTCTCTGAGTGATTCCAGCATGCAGCCAGAGTTGAGACCAGCCAAACTCATTTTCTGTATAGAGAAGGGCTGGAGTTGGGCTATATCCCTGCATTTTGTCTGTGATGTGCCTGACTTGCCTCACTACACCTGAGAGTTCCACCATGTATAAGCATCAGATCTATGAGCTAAATACCAGCAAGGTCATCATTTTACCGATTAGTAAAACTGAAATTTAAAGGTTTAGCCGTTCGCTAGGTCAAAGATAACAAAGTAAGGAAGGCAGGCTTGGGCAGATCGCCAAACCCAGTACCTTAACTGAACTATTCATCCCTTCCTAAGAGGAATCCAGGAACTGGGGTGGGGGATGGGCGATGGGAGATGGGGGATGGGGTGAGGGTGTTCAAGCAGAGTCCTGCTTCCACCATCTAGATTCCTTCTTTCTACTCCTTCCTTCAGATCCCCCCCCCGCCCCCGGTCCCCTTAGCTTCTGACCACTTCCCTTGCCTGTGCAGCACAAAGCCTCGTCTGTTCTGTAAGGTGTCTTGTGGTGGGCAGGGTCCCAGAGGGTTACCTCTGACATGAGGCTAAGGGCGAGCCAGAGCCAGGAAATGCGCACAGGCAAGGGGAGCTATGTTGTTGCTAAGTGCAGGAATGAGTCGGATCCCCAGTGAGGCGCAGTCAGCTCGTGGGAAGGGGGAGGCGAGAACCAGTGTGCTGAAGCCCCAGGGCGGGAGAGGGAGGAGAGTCCGCGCTGAGCGGAGGGAGGCGCGCGCCGAGCGAACACCCACTTGCATCCGAGCGAGCGCTGGGAGGCAGCAGCTGAGACAGCTCCAGGTCTGAGCCGCTGCATCCCGCCCAGTCGGTCTCCGCCTGTCGGCTTAGGGGGTCCAGAGGATGGAGGATTCCCGGGAGACGTCTCCGTCCTCCAACAACTCCTCCGAAGAGCTCAGCTCTGCCCTGCAGCTGTCCAAAGGCATGTCCATCTTCCTCGACGTAAGTATAGACGAAGGAGTTAGGTGGGCGCCTTAGGCATCAGCCCTGTGAGAGAGGAGGGTGCAGCCGCTGGCTGCTGGTGTTATGCTCCCAGACCTCCAGGCGAACTATCTCCTGCCACCCAACTTGTAAAAAGAGCTGTCCCCGACTTGCAGCTTTGATTACAAGCGTTAAGAAGACCAAAAAGTTCGACTTCCCAGCAGCCTGGGCTTCTGCAGGGATGGAGTCGAAACAGGAGTCTCCATTGGGCAGTATAGGACTTGATTCCTGGCTCATCCCTGCCCCGGTTTGCTGATAGGCACCCCCACTTGTGCTGGGGAGCGCTGATGGAAGCCTTAGAAATTGTGATGCGCCTCCAGCCTCTCCCAGCTGCCTCCAAAACAATTTCTTTGAACATGTGTGTTTTTCCTTTTACAACGGTAGCCACGGTCTCTTTTATGCTGATGACTCTTTTCCTTTTGGTGCCCCCCTCGCTTCCCCATTATTCTCTTCCCCTGAGCCTAAACTGTAATTGCTGTCATTACCTTCTCTTCCAGTGTTTGTTTCCCCTTTGGTCCCATTTCTTGCTTGGGAATTGACTTCCTTCCTCCGCATCTCTAACATGACCATCCTTTTCTTGCTGTGCTGTTTTTCTGCCCCTGTGCTGTGATTTCTCTCTCTATAGCAGCTTCAGATCTTATTCGTTCCTCGATTCTGCTTAGCTTTGTCCTCTGTTTCAGTTGTTTCTCACCCTGCTGCCTTGTTAGGTTCCCTGGCATTCCTGTCCCTGGGTTGCATGCCTTCTGGGCTTTGGCTTACCCCTCGGCTGCCCACTTGTCAAATTCACTCTGTTCCCGCAGGTAGTGTCTGGCTCAGTGGGGGCAGTCTAGTGGCTGGTTATTTAGCATGTGGAATAATGGGCAAAGTACCTGAAGGAGCTCTGTTTGCCCCGGCCCTTTTCCTCTCCAAGCCGTTTGATTGTGCAAAATGAAAATATGAGGAAATCAAACACTAGTATCATAATGGCCAGTCAGAGATTTTTGAAGACAATGGGTTGGAGGTGGGGGGGGGGCAAGGAGTCCTCACTTTGTCTGGAATGATCTAGATTTTCTTAATTGGTAGAGAAATACATAACAATAATTAAAACTTGTGTAAGACACTTGATGGCAGGTTTAGTCCCGGCTCCTGACAGCCTTCTCCCTTCATCACCACGCAGTTCCAACACAAGATTTGGACTTGGGGGGGGGGGGTTCAGCCATTTTCTTCCCTCGAAAACACAAGTGTCTGGTTTCCACTGTGTGTGGCATCATAGGTTCCGTCGATGCTTTAATTAGCTAGTATTAGTTCTTCATGCCCTAGCATTCAGGACCTAACCCTTGAGGAACTAAGCTGAGTGAATGTAAAAACAAGACATGGGAAGGCAATCTCTGGGATCAGGAGGAAGTCGGGGCCTAGGTCATCCAGAGTTTTATGAGGACAAGAAGTGAATTCTGAGTTCAAGTGGGATCCCCATCCATTTCTGCTCTGCCCTCCACAGATACTGAGTGCTGCCTTATGATTTTTTTTATCTTACAAATCTAAGGAATCCTGGTGACACTCTGGTGAGGAGCGAATGGAAACTGTGTAAGAGGGGAGTCAGCTACCCCGACAGACTCACCATTCTCAGCTCAAGTCTTTAACTCCAGTTTACTAATAAACAGGGTAAGATCCCTGTCCTGAAGGAACTCTCATCTTTGGACAGAGCTCCCTGGCCTTCTTAAGTATGTTGCCAGAACTGAAAAATAAATACATAATAAAAGCCCAATTGATTCCATAGGAGAGGCATGGACATGCTTGTTTTTCAGTGAAATGTAGTCTGAAAAAAAAAAAAGATTAACTGCAGTTGGATTTTTTTCTTGGAGAGAAAATATGTTGTTTACACATTTCTGAGTTATTTTGTGAAGAAATCTAACACTCTGGTGAATTGTGTGACATGAAAAGGATTGGTTATTTAGGGATCTCTGAATTATTCATTTCTGGATCATGTTGCTTTTAGCAAAAACAAAATGTGAGACATAAATACATCACTTGATTTGATTAGGTTTAGTATATTCTAGTAGCATTGCTAAGAACGATTGCTGTCTGAATTCTACTGAGATTACAAGGAAAAGGTGGCAGACACTACCTGTGCAAGAAAAGTAAAGACATGAAGCCACTGGGGGAACTTCCGCACCTCACAGCCAAGTTTCCAAATTTGGGCGTAACTGAATCCTAGAATTTACATTCAAGTATCATTGACAGTCAATCTTTAGACTTCTTAGAGAAATTATTTAAATGTCATTTGAGGTACTCTTGATGATATGACTAGACTTGGCAAGCTGCTTAGAAACTACAGATAAATGGTTGACATGAACATGAAAATCAGATTTCCTAAGTCATTGTCTTTCATTTCATTCTTCTAATCTTACACTCAGCAGTAGCCGTAAGTCTCATACTTGCCATCTAAGGTCATTGTCATATGGGGTCTTGGTCTAGAAAACAAAGGAAAAGGGGACACCTGCCATATACATTTGAAGTACTATGGTGTGTCAGTGCTTCATGTTAAATCCACAAACAGCTGTAGCTAAGTTTGCAAACTAACACAAGAACTGCATAAATATAATCCATATTATTTTCCCCAAAGTGGCAGAATTACATAGCATGTTAAACTACTTCTGAATACCTAGTGACGTGAGACTTTGAAGACCTCTGCCGACTGCTGTACCCAAACATGCTGGCACAGTGCTGCTGGGCATATTTACACAGTATACACCTGACAGTTGTAGGACAGCACCAGAACTGACCCCAGCATACAGCAACAGAGAAGGATCAGAAGGCTGACAGCCACTTTTCTTTTTGACTACTGTGCTATACGTTCCCAAGATCCCTTATTCTAGATAATGGAGAGTAAAGCCACATTTAAAATGTGAGCCCCTGGAGCTGTTGGTGCTCTCGGTCTGTGCAGCAGGGAGAATCTTCAATTCTGCTCCTTACACAAGAGAAATGCCAAAAGGAATGAGTTGTACTCATCCAATGACACTGTCCTCTTCAAATAGATTCCCTTTGACCTTTCTTTCCAGTGCTGGACATCTGACCCAGGGCCTTGTTCATTCTGGGCAGGTGTCTACCTCTGAGCCACCCCTCCACCTTTCATGACTTTTAATTGAGAAAGAAGAAGACCTTCTCTGTTTTTCTAGTGAAGTAGGATTGGAGCTGGGAGGTCAGTGTATAAACCATACAAGGCACGTGGCCTGACGGAACTTGGTTTTAAAAATTGAGTAATAGCTTCTCCTTCTAAACAGTTAGATTCTGGGGCTTGGCGCATACTTGTTTGTGTGAGAGATAACCTGGATGCATTGTCAGAGCACACAGGGTTTTCTGACACCATGATTCTATGACTGAATTCCACTGTGCCACATGTCTCCTGCCTTTCCCAGTCACACATGCACACTGGATTACTTGAATAAGATTGTCCATTATGGAAAATGTCAAGTGAAAGGCTAGATAACCATGGCCTGTGCCATGTTTTTCCACACAGGATTTACCCTGGAATAGAATGTACTAATTACAGTTTAGTCCTGTGTTTTCCAGGACCAACTTCCCTGCAGCGTGAGGGCAGCAGTGGTGTGGTGTCAAATGCTCTACTGAGTGCCCAGTGTGCACTGTCACTCATTCCCTAGCTCTTTATTCCCACACATCCAGCTTCCTGGATCCTGTCCATTGACCGAGACCCCATCTTATCTTGAATCCTGGAATCTTAACCCACATCCCGATCTGAGTCACTTGTCAGTTCAGTGAATGGTGACTTTTTTATGCTTTCAAGATGATATTTATGTTTAAAGTCTGTTCTCAATAACTTAAAGTGAGAAATAAGGAACTTCACGTATGGGCATCGAAGACTACCTTTGGAGGTAAAAAAATAAAAGAAAGAAAGAAAAAGAAAAAAGAAAAGGAATCTGTATGATAATCCTTCAGTTATAACAAAGTGCAGTATCCCTTGGATACGTTTCCTGCCTGAACATATTTAAATTTATTTACTATGCCTCCAGTCAGAACAGCTATTAAGATTAGCTGACTGTGGTAACACTGCGTACTGAGCTCCATTCTCATCTGCAATGCATTTTTTTCTTATTACTTTGTGAGCTCTGAGGCAAGATTTTCAGGAGAGGCAGTTCTATCCATATTTAATTACAAGAGTTTAATAATGTGGGCTACTGTCTTAATTCATCTCTGAGAGTCTGGGTGCCACCTCTATTGTTATCTATGCAATGAAATGATGGAAGTCCTGGGTCCAACTCCTTGATGTGTGGTCGTTTCTATTCTAGTCATTTCACACTCCTGAGGGCACAATGGGATTCAAAAGTCAAACTGTAGGGTCAACCAAAGATAAAAGATGTGCTTCCTGTCTCCCTGACTTGTCTGTAACTTTTCAGTTCTGGAAGACAGGAAGAAGCTGTCCGCTGGAAGAACTGGTCATTGGCATCTCCAGCAGTTGCTACTCCAAGCAGCAGAAAGTGTGCATTCGGGTCTCCTTTTAGCATAGTTCTTACTATGAAATCCTCTTGTAGCAATTCAGTTTATTCTATGAAATGGATGAGCAGTTTACATCAGTCTCATGGACCAGATTTGTCAGAAATAATATTGGTACTTTGTAATCTTTAGTGAAGATTAGGTTTATCCATACTCCACTTTCGTGAAGTCAGAAGAATGGAGGATTCTTTTCCTATGATAGAATGAAGAAAACTTTAAAGTAGTAATAAAATAGTAGTAAAAAGAAGGCTGTGTTTTCACCATGAAGTGCCAATCTAAAAACAAGGATACTTCTGGTTGTTTAACTGTAATGGAAGCTTACTCAGCGAAAACAAGATCCTCAAGGCTCTTTCCGTATAGTTAAGTTTTCATCTGCAGTAGTAGATGGTCTTTCTCTGCAGGTGTGTATATGAGAGATGCATTATGTCATCCAGTTGCTTTTCTGTGGGAACCTACATCACACGGGTTAATTTAATTTCTCCAAATAGAAGGAAACAATTAAAAGCTGTTTAAGGTTTGACTGTATAACAGCGTATTGACTGTTGTAATAAACAGCTGGGGTTGCCTCCTCGGGGACCAGCCAGGGGCTCAGAGAGTGCCGCTGGTTTTTCTGACCCTCTCTATACAGATTTCAGAAGTGATGATTTGTTTCAAGTTATAAATTATATTAATTTCAGAAAAGGGCCGTAGCAACCACCACAGATGGGGTAGCTTACACATAAGAACTCAGGAGACCTCGGAGTTGTGAGGTGAGAAGGGCATAGTGAATGTGTTGGTAGGAAATGGTTTCTCCCGAGACTGCAGAGTGGGGCTGCTTTGTGTCACTATTCTAGCTTTTGATGGCAGCCGTCGGTCCCCTTCATTCTAGAATTCCAGCACCTCACTCTGTCATGAGCCTGCTTCCATGTCTGTGTCTCTAAAGGTCTGTCTCTTCATAAGGTCATCACATCAGGGCCCATACCTCAGAAAGGACCCAATTCCAAAAAGGTCACATTCATAGGTACTAAGATACTAGAATTTCAACACCTGCTTTCAGGAAAAGAAAAAAAAAAAACAGTTCAACCCACAACATGTGTGATAACACAATGCCCAAGGACAGCACCTTGCTTATATCTTTCCAAGTTCAAATCCAGAAACAAGCTTTGAGTATCCTTTTCCTAACAGTGCAAGCATGGACTATTATTCATTAGCCCTAAGGTGCTCCTGACCCATCAATGGCAACGGCAGAGAGGTGTAATACTCCATCAGACCTCGTGCTCCACCTGGCCTATAAGCATAGAAACCAAGAGTAGAAGAAAAACTAGTTTCCCAGGAAATAATTCAAAACCATTACCACTGAGTAATGGATACCAGACGGCCAAATAATCACTTTACATCAAAACACCTTAAAGAGGGTCCAAGATAACATTATTATATCCAAGTAAGACATAGTATAGATATGTGGGCTTCTATCTGCCAATTACTTATTATTTTCCTTCTCCGTTTTTATTTCCTGTTTCATTGAGATGACAATTAACTTACATTAAAGTGCATAAATTTAAGATATGTGTTGGGTTTTAACATATAAAATGTGGAAGTCTCTGCAAGCATCATGGCTGGCAGCAAAACGACCTGCAGAGAAGCAAGAATGGAAACTCGGTTCAGCATGGCTTGGTTAGCCAAGGTGGCTTAACATCAGGCCAGTTTATTTTGGACATATTTAAGTACAGTGCAGTTTCCCTTGGAACAGTTATCCCAATCCCATGTACACGATAAATCTTACCCAATGATGGCTTCTATAGCTTAAGGGCTGAGGATCTGGTGTGGTCTCTGACAGAGTTGAGCAGTCTGGAAAGTACAGGTGACACCTCCCCAAGGATAAATTCTATTGACTGAGAGTTAAAGAAAAGGTCTAGGAGGGAGAGTCCAGGATAAACATTCTGGGGATTTTTGGTGAGGTCTGGCTCTACAGATAGCAGAGGTCACCAGGTTGCTAACACTCACTCTCAGTCTTCTGGGAGGAAACCAGCTATATATCTCCTCCAATGAGGTGACAGCTTTTCTTGATTAACACTCCTGGTTTCTCTAGCGTTAATCTGTGAGCACTTGTGCCCTCTACAATGAAACAATCACATTTGAGATAATCTGATTTTTTTATTGTCCTCAGTGGTTTTCTTATACACTTTTATAATACATAGCTCGTGGCCTTGACTGTGGTTAGACAGCTTTTGATCTACTTTCTGTCACTAACTGTTGTTATGCTTTTATAAACTGTATACACCCAGACATTTTTATATCTAGGTTTTCTATTCAGCCTGATTATTTTTAGATATATCCCAATTTTGACAGGCAAAATCTTTTGGAAAGCTGATTCTTTTTAAATTTTCCACTAGTTCTTTATTGTACTAACCACACCCTTGGTTCACCAGTTTACCTTTTGATAGACATTTGGGCTGCTTCCAGGTAAGGGATATTTAAAAAGGAAGATCTCAGTTGGAAAACATTCATTTACCATTGGGATTTAACTTGTTTAATGATAGACTAATTATGTGTGAATATAACATTCATTGCAATATTTAGGGAAAAAAGATGTCCTTTCTTCTGGACATTGAACCTAGGGCCTCACACAGGCTAGGCAAGTACTTTACCACTGAGCTACAGCCCCAGCACAACAAAAAATGATAAAAGTTTTTTTCTTTTCTTTCCAGATACTGAGGAGAGCAGACAAAAATGGTAAGATCAAAATTCCATAATTTGTATTTATTAATTCATTATATTTTAGATTATCTTATAAAGAAACACAAAGGAGTAGAAAGTTCTAGGAATTGACCTATAAAATATTATTTTAGCAATAGTTAACATTTTCATCAAGTTTATGGCTCCAGGTACTCATGAGAAAATGGCAGAAGAATTCAAATTTGACAGCAAGGTGTAATTTATGCCTTTGAAGTGAGGAGTCCTGTCACACATGGGCTGTGACTTCTCCCTTTAATGCTTGAAAAACATCTAGCAATAGCAACTTTGAATCATTGGGAGTATTGAGCTGTGCGTTTTGTCTATAGTATGTCTTAGATTTCTAAGCTAGAGAGTGGTTTTTTTAGCTTTTTATTCTTTTTCTTTTTTTATTATTATTATTTTCATTTTAAATAGCTTGTTTTACATATCAATCCCAGTTCCCTCTCCCTCCCCTCCTCTCACACTCCCCCCACCATCCCCCCCCATCCTCCCACCCTATCACCATTGCCTTCCACATAGTGGATATCTACAGTCTGTCATTTCACTCAGGGTAGGGTCCAGGCACTCCCCTAAGAGTCCAGGCTATGAGAGCAACCCTCTTTGTGTTATGGACACATGATGTCTGTTAGTATTTGAGGGATAAACACTGATCCACTGCTCAGGGCCCCATAGGTTGCCCAGGCCTCCTCATTGACTCTCACATTCATGGGGTGTGGATCAGTCCCATGCTGGCCTCCCAGCTGTCGGGCTGGGATCCAAGATCTCTTCCCTGTTCAGATCAGCTGTGTCTGCTGGTTTTGCCAGCCCATTCTTTGCCAATTTGCTCATCGCTCCTCTCTCTCTGTTGCTGGGTTCCATGGGTTCAGTTCAGTGTTTAACTGTAGGGGTTTGCTGCTGCTTTCATCAGTCACTGGATGAAGGCTCCCGGATGGTTATAGACATCAAGTTCATTATCAGGAATGGGCATTCGAGGTGGTCTCTCCACTATTACTTAGCTTGCCAATTGGTGTCATCCCTTTAGATCACTCGAGGTCACACTGGTGCCTGATCTGTCTTCTAACCTATGATTCCCTCTTCCCCCTATTCTAGCCCCCACTCAACCTTTCTGTTCTTTTGCATGCAAATCTGTTTGGTCCCAGCTTCTAGGTTTGCTAATTCACAGTGGCCTAGTGGGATGACTGCCTGGACTCAGTACAACTTACTCTTCTGTCTGAGGCATGGGAAACTCTCGTCCACAGAGACAGAGAAGTGAGAGGCAGCAAGCCAAAAATAAAAATGTGTCCTGAAAATCTGGAGGCAGCTCTGCTAAGTCCAATTATGAGCTCATAAGTATTTTTTATTCCTTGATTCTACTAGAAGTTTCCTTCCGTAGAATCAGAGCTGTACTTCACTACAGTTATATTATTGGTAATAGTGGCTTGACAATTTTAGGATACAAAGGCTGCTTTTGAATTCTGGAAGTCTCATTTCTTATCTCCAAGGAAAGATTGCCATCGGGTATGGCCATTAAAACATATTATTTGGTTTATCCTTAAGCTCCCACATCCAGGAGAGCATTCTGACACTGTACATCTTACTCCCCAGCACATGGTTCTTTATGCAGCCTCTGTGTGTTTCAGCACTGCCTACTCTTCTGACAGACCTGGCCTCTCTCACCCACAGCTCCTTGTATTTTCAGGTTGTGCCTTTGTTTCCTTGGATTGCAAGACTCTGATCAAGTCCTGATAATTACCTTTGTATCTATCACCCTGCTTTATATCAAAACTATCATACTCCACTATCATAGTAAAATCCAGTCGCCACAACCCATTTTTATGACAAAAACCATCTGACAAATCAATTCACATGGATAAATTCAGAGGCTGATAGTAACCCTATATTTTATGCTACATAAGAGTAGTCACCTGATCCACCAGCTCCAAACCCTCTTAATGTGATTGCCAACAACTCCCTTTTAATATGATTGCCAACAACTCCCTTTTAATATGATTGTCAGCCCCCCCATGGGATTCCTTTCTGTTCCTTATGTCCTTTCCTAATGTTTGGTTATTCCACATGATCAAAACTACCCCCTCCCTGCTCTTACCTCTCACTATCTTTGTCTGCAGTTCTCTGAAATCTATAGTTTCCTGAGCATTTGTCCTTTTAGGCCAACTCCATGATACAGGCCTGCCTTAACCACAGTTTACTATGACATTCCACACTTGGGAGCTTGAGAGTGTCCACATCTTGCATGGGGTCTTGCTAAAAAGGCATTGTATCTCAGAAGTCTTCCCTATGCTACAGAGCTGCACCTACTCTCTGACTAACTCTTCCACATATACAGATCATTACAGTGAAGGGCTAAAGTTGATCCCAAACGATTCTAGTTCCCTTAACCAAACTTGCTTCTCTAGGGCAGAGATCTGTCTTCTGCATTGACACGATGCCCTTCAAGTACATTTACACTAGAGGATATGTGTTTAGTAAGTTACTAGTGAAGATACTCTGCTCATGATTCATTGCTTTGATCTGTCCACTCCTCTCTGCCTTCTCTCCACCTTAGTCTTCACTCTGACCTGCAGTGTAAAGTTGGGAGATGCTTGGAGTCTAGCAGGTCTTGGCTTAAATCACAGTTATTCTACCATGTAACTCCATGTATGCCAGGAATCACTGTAAGTAATTCATGAGATGATTCCTGTTATGAGTAATTCCAAGTTATGAGCTCTTTTTGTGTCATGATACCTTGGCTATATGAAGCAACTGGTGACATTTCAGTAATGTCTCCTGCAACAGGATTTGGTGGGGAGGAAACATAAGGCTATTTGCCAGTCATGTTGAATTGAAAAGGAAAGTAGAGGGGGCTGATCTAGTGCAAATAAAAAGATAAAAAGTAGCCATCTTTCTGTATCATACGACTATTGTATGCTATAGTTTCAAATCAGCAGCCATTGTGTGTGTTTACTTTTTTGGGAACAGACTCTCATGTGATGGAGACCCTTGTGGCAAGTTTAAATGGTGCTGAAATCATCAAAGGAACAAGACAGCAGAATGAGAGTTAGCTGCCAGAGGACAGAATTAGCATCTGGACTCCATCTGACATAAAAGAGAAGCTGCGGGACAAATGGGAGAAAGCACATGGTTAGGGATTAGCTATAATAATGGCATCTTGGAGAGATAGTTTTTGTTGTTTTTAAATCACAGGCTAGGATCCTAAGCAGAAAGATAGACTTGAAAATAGTGCTGCTTAGGGGAGACACCAGTGCTTTCATCTCCAAAGCCCAAAATTAACCCCAGAAATGCAGAACTCTGGAGAAACTTCCCCACACATGGCCTGAATGACAATGGGAATGGTACGTGGTCATTTTTCAAATTTGTAAAAAATATTTCACTTGTAATTAAGGATATTTAATTGACAAGATAGGATTGTGTATATTAATGGTATATAACATGACACTGAACTTATGTATTCATTGTGCAATGGTTACCACCAAATTGATTAACACAGTCATCATCACTCACCAGTAGTACACAGCAGGTACCCAGAACTTGCTCATTTTATGACTGAAAGTTTGTATCCTTCCAACAATATCACCCCATTTCTCCTACACCCAGCACTTGGCAACTGCCACTCCACTCTCCGTTTCTATGAGTCTGACATTTTTCAGATTCTACATATAACTAAGATCATACGGTGTTTATTGCTCTATGTCTGGGCCAAAAATTTTCCTTTAGCTTAGTGAAAGGCAAATGAAAAGGCTCTCAGTGGTGCATAGTGACATCCAGTTCCTCTTGTTGATATGCACTTGCTCAGATCCAGGGCTGTACTTGTCAGCAAATATTAGGTGGATACATGGCATTTGTGATCCTTATGTAATGGCTAAGCTCTGACTGAACTGGCCTGTGGTGTAGCTCTCCTTGCTCGGCTTTTAGTTACTCTAGTCTGTGAGGGTAGAGCTGTCTGAGGTCCCCATGAGTCTGAGAAAAGTGCCTGCCATGACACAGGTGCTCAATAAATAGTTACGAGTATTTGTAAGAAGGGCATCATCAACAATTTGACCTTGAAACTGAATCATATGAGTTTATTTAATCAATCTTCACCCTTCTATGTAACTATTTTTACCAATTATTAATGATGACTAAAATTTACCGTTGACTATTACGGTCTAGGACCAACCCTAAGTTCTTAATATGCATTGCCTTGAATCAGTCTGAAAAGTACACAGAGTAGACAGTTTATAGCTATTGGAAAAACAGAATTTGAGAAAATGAGCTTCAGTGTCCTGCCTCTTACTCTGTCTAGCTGCATGATGTTGAGTAAGTCTTTCACCTTCCCTGGTTTTCCTCATCTGTGAAATGGGTTAATGACTGTATTCTCTTATAAAGCTGTCATGAGAATTAAATGAGATTATACTTTTGAAGCATTTTACCTTTTATTATTACATATTACCTATGCACAATAATGGATTTCATTATGATACTTCATAATGAATAATGTATTCACACACAACTTCTCCTTCCTCACTAATCCTTCACCTACCTATTTCCAGTTTTCCTCTCCTCTTCTTTCCTGCCTTTTTCTTCTTCATCTTTTACTTTTTGTGACCTAATGAGTTTCATTAAGATTGCACACAGGAGCACTCATGAAGAAAAAGATTTCCCTCATCAATTATTAACTGCCTACACAGTCTCAAGGAGGGGTGAAGCACCACCTTTCCCAATTCTGTGACTGGGTATTGGCAGGTCCAATCCTATGTAGACTTGGTGTATATTGTCACAACAGCTGTGTGGTCAGGAATAGAGTAGGTGTGTAACTCTTGTGTGTGTTGTCATACCTGTTGTGAGGTTAGGAGTACAGTAGATGTGTACCCTCCAAAGTCAGAGTTCCACATTGCTCCTGCCATCTTCCTCTGGTTTTTTTCCATTTTCTGTTCTTTCCACCTCTTCGGTAATGTTTCCTGAACCTTGGAGAGAAGCAGGGTAGAGGAGGAACATAATATAGGTGTCTCATTTATGAG